CACGAACATGCACGGATCAGGAAAATCATGGACCCAGCATTCAGTACAGCGCAGATTCGGTCCTTCCTGCCATTGTTTCGTCGCTCTGCTCAGAAGGTCCATATACTCTTGCATCAGAGACTATGTGACTCATTTTCGCGACAGCTGAGCAGAAAATGGCTCGCAACGCTCCAGTCGATCACCAAGGATTCGGATAAGGTTATCAACGTGAGCCCTTGGTTTGCTCGAACGACGCTCGATGTTATCGGGGAAGGTATGGCGTTTAAAATAACGACGTGTACTGCGGATTACATCTGATCTCTTCTAGCGGCTTTCGACTTCCAATGTGGTGCGCTGGACGATGAAATGAATGAAGTCATGCTGGTTTACAAGGACATGTTGTAAGGAGTTCACCCTTGGTAGAGCCGACACTCACCGTGACTGGCATTAGCCGAGACTCCGTGATGCATCCATCAAAGGGTACCCTCTTGTTCCGTTCAGTCTGGCCGTACATCCCCGAGAAGCTGTTGCGATATGCCGTCTATATTCCTACAACAGAGAACAAACGATTGAGGGACTCTTTGAAAACCATCAATTCTTTGTCCCGTCGATTAATCAATGAGAAGACGGAAAAACTCCTCCACAGCGAAGATAAGAGAAGAAAGGACATCATGAGCATTCTAGGTGAATTCCAGAAGCGAACAATGGTCGCACATTATGCTCAAGATATCCATAGTACGAGCAAATACATCCGAGGACCCCAGGGCGCAACTGACGGACCGCGAGATGATTGCTCAGATGGCCACTTTTCTTCTTGCTGGTGAGCTCGTCCATGTCAGACTGACGCTTTATTGGACATTTAGGCCGCCAATTCTACGACAGGTCATGAAACAAGTGCTCGCGCTCTTACCTGGATCCTCTGGGAACTTGCGAAACACCCAGAATTCCAGAGCAAAATACGCGAAGAAACTGCTGTCATTCGAGCGGAACTTAGCGCGAGCGGTGCCACGGATTTCAGCGTTGCTCAGTTAGACTCCTTGGTCCACCTGAACGCTGCCATCAAAGTGCGTCCGTAGACCAGTGTTTCTACGTGACGTGGATGACAATCTTCCTTTCAGGAGGGGTTGCGCTTGCATCCGATAGTATATATGCTCGTGCGGGTGGCGCAGGAAGACGATATAATACCTTTGTCGGAGCCCATCACGTCCACGACAAATCAATTGATCACTGAGATACCTGTCAGTAAGGGGCAGAAGGTCACCTTCTCTGTTTGGGGCTACAATCGGCGAGTATTTATGTTTGGACGTATTGCGGTGAGTCTGACTATCAATAGGCTACCGCAAGTGTGGGGCGAGGATGCCGACGAGTGGAATCCGAGTCGTTTCGTAGACACGAAGAACAATCGTCAATACAGTATCGGAATGTTTGCTGATATGTATGGCTGTCACTTGCCTATGTCTGCGCAGCACCTGAGTTTCTCTTTTTTCTCAATTATAGGATGTCATTTGGTAGGTCCGCCCAGAACAGCTATCGTTCGTATCGACTGATTAAGACATGGCAGGTGCTGGACCCATGGGATGCCTCGGGTGAGTTACTAGAAAAGTCCTTTCGTAGTCAGCCTTGTTCATAAACACGTTCTCGTGCAGTTGGCGCTTCGCGTACGTCCTCACTGTCGAATCTTTTGGCCAGCTTGCAGACTGTTCCATCACGCGCTAGAATCCTGGAGTTACAAGCCATCTTGGTGGAACTACTTGAGCGATTTGAATTTGGGATCCCTGCAGAAACGCCTGACATCCAGCGCGTTCCTGCTGGGGTTATGCTGCCCATGATCAGGAATAAGATGCAGCTAGGATCGCAGATGCCTTTGCAGGTGACCCTGGTCTAAGAGATGCAA